GGGGCTTTAGATCAACTACCATATACCTGGGTTCGGAAGCCACCTTAGGCGATTTTGCTCTGTCAGATTCGATGTGCTGGTGCCTCTTCCGCCTCTCGTTGGCGCTCCTGGCCACCGGCTGTCTGCTAGGTGTGCGCTGTTCCATGCGCTGAAGCGAAAACAGAAGACTTGCGTTGGACCCGCGACAAGTAATCCTTCACACTCTGAAATGTGGAACGGACGAAAACCCGGAGGAGTGTCAGCTCTTAGACCTTAAGAGGATCAGTACTGTACAACAAGCGAAATCATCGTAGTAGACTGCCAGCTCAACTCAAGGCCTCCTCAGCTCTTCTGCGCTCCTCTTCCTGCCGCCGGGCCTTGTGACAGCTTTCGCAGAGTTTGCGGGGTTTGGGAGGAGGGTTTCGATGTCGCGCCTCTTACTCCCCCCTCAACTGACTTCTAGTTACTAGTTCAGGTCGTCCGCTAGACATCCCCTTTCTTGGACTCAACGCCCCGGAACCCTCAATCCGGCTTCCAGCTTTTAAGGTCTAGGCACAGAAGATTTCACAGATTGAAGAATCAGGGTTTGGTCAAGAGGAGAAGTCAGACCAGCTTGCATACCTTCGCCCATAGCTCGTTCAACGTGCAGCACAGCTGGAACTTGCATACCCCCCGGCCCCGAGACGGCAGGCTGCTTTCTGCAAAGTATAGAATCTGCCGGCCTTGAGGAAGCGAAGACTGCTGATGTAAAGACAGGCAGCAAAGGCAGCAAACGGCCCCGACCCGACCTCCTCGTCTTTCTGCTTCTTGGCCTTGATCCTCTCCTTCCACTACACAGCAGAAGCAAACATGCACTTTCAGCTCTTTCAACGCAAGCTGTTGCGCACCTTTCAAGGTTGCTGGTTCACGAAGGTCACTGTCACCGTCACTCATAAACTTCTTCCCCTACACTCCCCGGGTGCGCGCTTCCACCAGGGGGAGGGCCCGCATCTGCTGCACAGGCCTTGCTGGATGGTGTCAAGGGATAGAGGGCAAGGTCGAACAAAAGACTGAAAGGTCAGAACCAAGAGTCACAAGAAAAGACAGGTAAGAAAAGGATCGCGAGGTCAAGAACAAGATGTTCACAGGGGAGGGGCGTCCAGGTTGTAGACGGGCCTCTGCAGCCTTGATAGACCCACACGAGCACGCGAGGCCGATGCCCCAGAACAGCTGACAGCAGCGGTCCTCCTCGGCTCGCTCGAAGGCCCGGCCTCGCTTGAAGTACGACCCTTGCCGCAGAAGCTCCAGGCCCTTCAAAAGATGGCCCGTCCCGAGTTCGGTCTCAAGGCGCAGAGCTTTCGCTGGGGGCTCCAGGCGCTGTTCCTCCAGGCGTCGGAGTTCTTCTTGTCGCTGTCGCCTCAAGCGAGCGCGAGACCATGAGGAGTCGGGTAGGGCCGGTTCATATTATGGGCCCCAGCATGCGCTAGGGTCACCTAAGGACGCGAAGCTTATCGGATGTCTTTGCAACTGCTTCGAAGCGGTTCTAGGGAGCAATTCCTTGGCACATCATGTTACCTTACTATGCTCCGATCTCGCCCGTCGCACGTCTCTCATGCCTGGTTTTGAAAACTTTGAAACCGTGCATATGCCACCCTTCTTCAACCCAAAAGCACGGCCACGAACTGCGATTTCAAACGCCCACTCCCGAGTCATCCATGCGGCAGAATTGCATGTCAGGCGACTCCTCAATCAACACAACACACCGCGACACCTGAAATTGCAACTCATATCGAATCTCGGCCACGGCACGTTCGCTCCGCCTCCGCCCTCTTCTCTACCTCCTTGCGCTGCCTGCGCGTGAACAGAGAGACGGTTCGGAAGGGAAATCAAAGCCCGCGCTGTAAGCCGTGACCGTATCAGCTCACCCAGGCCCTATATACGAAGTACTGCAGCACTGGTCCCTGCGTTTTAAAGTGAATTTGACTGTGAACGTGGATCCGTGAATCCAAGGAGACTATGGTGGAAGCGGCGGTGGAAGCTGATAATGCTCACATACTTAGACGAGTCCATCACGTTTTTGAGCCTCCCGGGGTTGAAGCTTTGGCCGTCTCAAGACAGCATCGCCCAGGAGCCTTTCTTCTTCCAGGCGGCGATTCTCTTCTTCAAGTTGGCGCCTGCGCTCCTGCGTGAAACGTCGACGCTTCGTACTACATGCTGGGCATGTCCCGCTGGCTTGACGTGCCCTCCTGTCGCTTCTTGCCTCCTGTATCACACAAGGGTTGCTCCGGAGGCAGTCGCAAAGCTCTTTTCCGCACACAGCCCGCACAAGAAGGCACACTGCGCGCAAAACGAACTATGTCGGCCCAACTGCGGCTGTCAAGCTTCTACGAGCAGCACAAGCAGGGGATCATGGCAAGCATCATGGCGTGCCAAATGGCGCGGAACCGTCGTCGCAACACGAAGGCTGCCAACTCACCGAAATTCTGAGGAACTGTGCGGCACCAACTTCATCCATTCAGGCCTTTGCTTGCCCTTCCGTTTCGCAAGCTCACCAACCCAGACAATGCTATGTATCTTGATGTAGGCTCGTTGTGACGGCTCCGGTTTAAAAGGCGGCGAATCCTCAGAAGCTTGGGGGGTTTAACGCCTTCAAGGCAATGGCCTCAATTCTGCAGATGGTGCTTGTAGGGTAGAACAACACCCAAATTTGTTTTGGAACTGCAGCAGAGAGTGAGCTAGCACTCTGACACCGTAGTCATGCTTCGGAAACGCCCTGGACAAAGAACGCTGAGGATGTCTCGGATGAGGAGTTGCATTCTTCGTAGGATAGCACTTCGTATGCGAGGATGTTGCTTTTGTTCCCATGTAGAGACATCTCCATCGCTGTGGGCCTTTGTACAAGTAGACCACCATGCTGTCTGCACGTCGACAACTACAGCTTGAAGACTCATCATGATTCATCTCAGACGCGGCTAAACATGTTGGCCTATGTAACCTCAAGCCTCAAGCAGGTTCATCCCGCACTCTGAAACCTCTAAGAGTTCCAACAAATCCCTCAACAGATGGGTCACTACAGTACCAGCTTTTTGTATGCACGTCCGCATGCGTACATATTTGCATACATACATACATACATACATACATACATGTATACATATATGCCCGTATACAACTATACATATAGAAAGAATGAAAGGTAGATAGATAGATAGACAGACAGACAGACAGATGGTCAGATAGATAGATAGATAGATAGACAGATGGATAGATAGTCAGACCGACAGTAGAGAGACAGAGAGACCGAGCGACAGCGAGATGCAGAGAGGGAGAAATGCACACCCCCTGCATGCATGCAACGCTTGCAAGCCTTCCGTCACACCCAAGCCCTCTTTGCAAAGGCAGCTACGTCGCTACGTGCAATCACAATATATCACAATGGCATTCCGTGCAGTTGCACTAGTGGGCGAATGTAGTTCGACCCCGGCTGATGAACACCTTGGTGTGCTCACCTCCGTCCTCACTCACCATCTTTCCGAGCATGGGGTCGTAGACACCTGGCACGATCGATCCCCACACACACACACACGCGCGCGCGCACGCAAGTTCCCCGCACACAGAAATAACTGTATTTCCGTAGACATACAGATATTATGTTAAATATAGATGAAAAATAAACAATCATATGCAAAAAACATGTGTGTCCGTGTGTATATACATATACTCTAATATGTACTATGATATCTGTGTGTATCGTCAGTTCTTGCTCTCACTTCCTGGACACATGATTCTGATTGACCCCTTCGCTGATTCGCCTTCAACCTCCGTGACATGCGCATACTCTAAACCAGGCTTCGGAGCCCGTAAACTACATCATGATACAGTCTGCAGCGTCTGCTACAAGTATGGGCAGTATGCTCAATTGTGTTGGTAGCCCTGTTCTGCTCTGACCCGATACTGGAGATTGCGGCGAGCACCATGCTGTTGCTGTCCCTAGTAAGCACATGGTATATTATTATGTAATGCTCATCCGCCGAGTATCCACACCGTGCCATGCACGTGATTCTCTACCAACCAAGTTTGGCAGTACGGGCTGGGACTGTCACAGACAAGCACCAGTATCTACGAGCCGGAGCCCCCGTCACTTGGCCACCGTCAGCCACACTTCTTGCGACCAAGACTCTGCCGCGGAGAGCTTCCTTCAGAAAAGCTCTGTTTTGAGACACTGATGGTTTGACTGGCGCGTGATCGGCATGAAACATTCACAAACGTGAAGGTGCCCTTACACGAGTCATTGCACGTGGTCATCCAACACTGCCCTCCCCATACGGTCGAGCAAACTCCGATATCGAGGCTGAACTGGTGCAACAAAAGCCACTTGACCAGCGATGCAGTTTCTCCCTGCCCAGCCCTCGAGAAATCCCCTGCCTTTCCGAATCGGAGTCGGCCATCCAGATCCTGGCCACGACGGCCGAACGCACCGGCCGGAGGAGCACCTGTTGCTTTGGCAAACTTTCGATTAGCTATCAACTTCCGACATGCGGCTAAGATAGACCCAAACGTAACCGAGAGTTCAGGTAAACGTGGCCTGGAACAAGGAGTTTCTGCTGCAGCTGCTCGCGCCGAAGATCCACAAAACGCTCCGCGTACTTGTCCTGCCGAGGCGTCTGAAACAGGTCCCACAGAATATCCAGGCCTCACACAACCCGCTGCATCTCCTGGATTGTAGACGGACAATCTGTTGGAGATGCTGACCTATTGAATCCAGCAGTAGTTCGGGGACCAAGTTTCCAGGAGTCGAATCAAGCCCACTTTCTTTGAATCGTCACCAGTTCTCCGCCAGTCAGCAGGCTCCTTCCAAGGAAGCCTTTGGCGGGGCAGCGGGCTCTGAGCCGGGTCCGCACAAACGGCGCGGCAAGCGGCGGCGGCGGGCCTCGCCCGCAGGAGGTCGGCCTCTGAAGACTTTCAGGGTTGACACGAAAAATCGAATACGGCCTTTTGCTTCCTGGCCTCACCGGGTCTTTCTAGGGCACAGCGTGAACCGCATCGGCCAAAGTTACTGTGATAGAGGATGCTCCACAGCACCTGAAGCGACAGGCATGAAACAAAAAACATGACTGAAAGGGTTTTCGCACAATTCACAGCTCTTCCTACACGATCGTCTGTCGCAGCACTGCTGACAAACTGACCCACAAATCCGGTCCCATCGCACGGTTTGGCCAGAATCGGCCAGTGCTTGAAGTGCCAGCAGTAGCAGCCCAGTCTGGCGCAAGGCCCATCTTAGAGGATCCCGCCTGGCCCTCTCGCTCAGCGGCCGCCCGCGAAGCGCGCTCCACTCGGCTGTAGGCGCAGAGCTCCGGGCCTGGGGCCGAAACATCGCCCGGAGCGGATCTTCTTGCAGAACTATGCAGTCAGCACCCTTTGCTCACGTTCGAGGTCCCGGCCATCACTGGCAAAGGTACACAGAAGCTCCCAGAGCTCCGATCCTGCTACAGTAGCAGAGAATATAGATGTTCGGTTCCTTGAGACTTGTGGATATCCGCGTGGGAGAGACATGTGCGGACCAGTCGCCAGAACAGACCAGAATGCCCACGGGTCTATTGGAAATATGAGACTCTGGCGTGTCTTCCGTCCTGCCGTTCGCATCCCTGACAAGAATAAGACTGAATCGGACCGCAAAACCCAACGCCCCAGACCCCAAGGCTGACAAAATCTGACAAAATCGGCAACACTTCCAAATGCCAACAAGGATCATGAAAAGATCCTGCCACACATCATGACATCAAACCTTTCCCACTCCGCGCCGCCTAGGGGGCACGGCACACAGCGGCGTCGGAGCTCCTCCGCCTGCTTCGGCTTGTGGTGTCTCTGCGGGAGGATTGAGGAGGGAGTCAAGGCTTCGTGAGCAAAATCGAACATAATCGAACTCCCCATTTTATTCAAACTGGAGATATGACCTCAGAGTAGTGATCTATACGGCACGGAGTGTTGACGAGGATATGTACAATACCCGTTCCAAGAAGCACGTCTATGCGGTCTGCACATGTCTACCCACACAGCCACACAATGCCTCCACGTTCGTTTCCACGGCACCTTGATGCCAAGCGAAATGCTGCAGTTCGTCCAACATGCTCTGGGATTCAAGTTGAGACTCATGATGAGTTATATACAGTTGACTGGACGAGCGAGTGCCCACAGTGCTGTCATGCAACTGCTCTTGGAGTGCACTTGTGCCACCTCTGAATCAATCCCAATTCAGAGGCCACACATTCGAGACTGAGGGCAGTACCGGTGTCGACGTAGACAATGTCGTACAAGCCACCATGTCGAACAGCCTGGATACGCTGTCAGAGGGGAGACAACTGGTGCAGTTTCGCATCTCGCGGGTCTCCCAGTCATGAGTTGACATCGACTATCTAAATTCTAATTTCAAGGGATGGTCGATGGGCATGTGGCCTGGACGACGGCCCCAATCCACATGTCGGCGAAATCGTCAACGAGACGGTCCTCGTTTCAGTTGAGGTGTCTTGGAAACGAACCGCTTGCAAGCATGAAAATAAGATAAACTCTCTGCTCACAAAACATGAACGCACGGATCTGGTCAAGTAGCAACCTGCTCGCCCACATGCCATCTGCTGTTCGGCTGCGAAAGCTCCTGGTCTCGGAGGTCATGCTGAGGGGAGCTGCGGAGCTGCATCTCATGACTTCTTACAGCAAGAATTAACATCAGGCTCTCAGGAAACCAGGTCAGCATGTCAGCAACTGGACGGCTTTACAGGTCTTCATTCCTGGTCGCGGGTCCTGGAGGCGGTCGTCGGAGCCAGCGCTTTCCTGAAGGTCATGAAAGCCTTCAAGCTAGTACTCTGGCATGGCCTCGGAGTGCTTTCCAGATCTTTTCAGATTATTCAGAACTCAGAACCAGCCACACGTCCAGTGTCTCTGCCGTCGACACATCAGGACGGAATGTACATGCCGGGTTCCTCCACTGGCCGACGGCACGTGTTCCATTTTGACGCACTGGCCTGCGCCCACTCGAGTGCCAATGGAAGTCGATGGCAATGGCTCTGCAGCTGCGTAAAGAAAGCATGCGGCACCTCGGCAGATGAGGATTCACGATGCAGCGGCCCCGACTTGGTGCGAATCAGCTCAGCTTGCGGCCCAAAAGGGTAGTGCCTGCTGCACCAACTTTGCCAGAACACGAGCCTCCGTGTGCCATGAGCGCATTGAACGCCGGGCTTAGGATTGACAGGAATTGCATGTTGCATTTCTGGGAGTTTGGGCTCTTGAGGTTCAACTCTCCGATCAGAGTTCATGCTGGGCAGTGTGACGGCGCGGCCTGCAGGCAAGACCGGTAAAGTATCTCAACTTGCAGCATGATACAAAAGAAGACCACATGAAAACACGCCTGTCGCCCCCACCGGCGAAGAATTCAGATCACAGGCCGAAGCATGAACCGCACCAACTGTGGTCTTCTCCGAAAAACCACTCCTGTGCCCTATTGCTTGCAGTAATCAACTCTTCAGACTGTCGTGGTCAACATCCCGTTCGCCGACACAAAACTTGCTGACGCGACCTTCGGAAGATCCCCCTTGTTGAGGGTCCTCAGCAGCTTCAGCGCTTCCTGTCCGTGCGTGGCTCTAGATTGAAAGCTTAGCAGTACAGGAGTAGACACATGCTAGGGCCCGCTTGAGGCTCTCAAGCGCGTCCAACCTGAGAAAATGAGGAACTTATAAGTTATAAGGGATCCTGATTGCGGTTATGATACTTACAAGTGTGTAACATAACCCGACGCTCCAAGTAAGAGACGTCTACAGAGTCTACTGCATCCTTCATCCCAAAATCAAATATGTGCAGCCGCCGCGGTGGAGTGTCCGCCCCAGTGAAACAGGTCGGCAAACGCCCAGGCGCATGGAAAGCCCAATGATACCACACCTTCGCCCGCTGTCGTTGCAGTTCTTCCGCAAAATGAGCCTGGATTTCATTGACAGGGGGGGCAAGGCGGGTAACCTGAGTCCCATGCCTGATGCCATTCGCCCACAGCCTCCCACATCTCCTTGACCGTCCAGAGCCACCCGTTCTCTGGCAGAAACTCAAGCACATTCACGAACGCGGTGAGCTGCTCCAATACGAAGCGGCAGGCAAGCGGACGCAGGTCTGCCCGTTGTTGGCCGACCCTGATGAGGAGCATTGCTGGTTTTGGATTCATAGCGCTGTGCTCTCCTGGCTCAGATGTGCTTATCCAAGCCCTTCCACCATTGCGTGCAACAAGACTGTCAGAAGTAGAATCTGTCCTTTGACCAATGTGTTAAGAAGCATGTCAATGACGATGCCGAAGACTGTCTTGTCCGGGACGGTGCGACACAGCTGCCCACCATGACACTTGCATTTTGGGAGCGGTCGTGCCCACAGAGAAATTGCCACAGAAAGGGATACTGGTCTCCATTGCATTCCTCCCGCACCAACTACGCTGGCAAGACTCTGAGTCTCCGCCAACGATGAACAGGCGCGCACCGGCTGCCGCCAGCAGTGAACACGCACTCTCCATCATTTTCTCGGAGGATGTAACGTATCATAAGATTCAACGCACACAAACGCGATCAGAACAAAAATGCGGTCGACGCGCCTACAATACACCCCTGCCTGAACTGTCTGATTTTATGGAGCAAGCTAGCTAGCAAGATAACAAGCAATGAGTAGCAAGCAACGGCCTCAATAATTATTCAGAACGCAAGCGCTTGATGCAACAGGAGTGCTCTTCTGCAGGCCACTTCATATGCGCGTGTTTTGCAAGCACATTATGGCATAAGATTCTTTGGCTGCATGCATCTCTAGGCTGCGAAGTGTGCGAAGGTTACGGGTTGGGCCTCGAGTTGCCCAGGCTTCCGCTGCCGTGGAGGGCCGGTGAGCACCAACTTCCAGTCCATGGCCGAAGGGCCAAGTCGCTGAGATCCGGAATTTCTGGTGTCTCGTTTAGGAGGTTTTGGGTGGGGGTTCCGTCTTATCAGGCCGATGTACAAGACGAAGAGTACATACCCCTCTCCCCCATGACAAGTCCTGTCGCTAGGCATGCTTCGTGGGCTTTTGTAGGGAGCTGGATTTGGTTGATTGTGTATGCCACGCAGCTCCTACTGGGCGTCTCATGTCTTGGCTTCGCTTCCCATTTGCATCACAATGGCAAAAGCCAACGAAGACAACCAAGCATGCATTTCAGAGACAAGGAACAGAGAGAGAGAGAGAGAGAGAGAGAGAGATAGAGAGATAGAGCGAGAGAGAGAGAGGAGAGAGAGAGAGAGAGAGAGAGAGAGGGAGAGAGAGAGAGAGACAAACAGACGGCCAACGGACAGACGGACAGACACAGGCAATTCCACCTCGACTTCCGACAATGTGTGACCCTCACAGAAGGACAGAAGCAGCGCTACTCAGCAATGGCACTTGCCCACCAGTCGAACCTCTGAGACTCTCCACCTGTCCTCCACCTCCCTTTGCTGCTGTTGCTCCATCCGCAGAGCCTCCTTCGGACTCACGAACGGTAACGGACCGGTGCTTGCAACACAGGTTCACAATTAGTTGCTCAACGAAGCACAGGTTCCGTGCTGGCTGGCATTCGGCAAGCAACTTGCCACGAGAAGCGTCAGCCTCTAAGATACTTGACCTCAAGGTCACATGAACAAGCCTGTCCAAGAACCGAAAATGGGCGACGCTTTGCCACTGCTTCCCTGCTTCTCCTCTTCGGCTTGCCGCACTTCTTCCTCCAGCCTGCAAAGCAGCACTCAAGAACTGAGTGATGAATTCCTTCCGGATTCCGTATGAGATGAGCGAAGCCCGGGTGGATGATTGAGCCCGGCTGCGACAGCTCTGCCTGAAAAGGTGTAGCCCCCACAGAAAATCCTTGTCATGTAGGCTTCACTTTGGGCAGCTCCCAGCCCCCTTGAACTAACAAGCCGACGTTGCCATGCGCAGCGGCAAACAAAAATCCCCGAAATGTGATCTCCAATCGAGGCTGGAAAATGAATTTCAAGACATGCCGCCGAGATGATTGAAAGAGTAAAACCTCGTTGGAGTTCTTGGGTAACTGCCGTTGGCCTTCTGAAAACGAACCGAGCCCGAACCTCAACATGTATCATGCTAGACACTTTTTACAGGCTAGCCAGGACGTGCGCCTGACCTTTACCCTGAAGCCAAGAATGTGAAGTGTTGCCAATCTTTTCCTGAAAGCGTGGCGAAGGGTGTTTCCGTGGAGCTGGTCTGGACGACATATGAGGTGATGGTACTGGTGATGATGATGATGATGATGAGGAGGACCAGGAGCAGGAGGAGGAGGAGGACGACGACGAAAATGACGAGGATGTTGATGGTGATGGTGATGATGATGATGAAGAAGAAGATGATGATGATGTTGATGATGATGAGGAGGATGATGATGAGGAGGATGAGGATGGTGATGGTGATGGGGATGGGGATGGGGATGAGGATGGTAATGGTGTTGGTGATGGTCATGCGGATGAGGATGGTAATGGTGTTGGTGATGGTGATGCGGGTGAGGATGGTGATGAGGATGAGGATGAGGATGATGAGTAGGCGGAGGGAGAGGAGGAGGACCAGGAGGGGAGGACGAAAATGACCAGGATGATGATGAGGGTGAGCAGGATGGTGAGGAGGAGGATGACTAGGAGGAGGAGGTGCCGTGAGGCTGCATGGCGTAAGGCTAATGGCACAGGGTTCATGGCATTGGTCGGCCCCAAGGAGTTTCGTCAGGTTGCCTCTCGATGCGTCTTATCTCGCAATCCAAACACCAGCATCTTTTTAACCCACTTGGCCCGGGATGGCGAGAGTCGCCGGGAATCGCCAACCTGCCCTCGGATTAGGCAACCCTCTCCTGAGGTCAGCATGTGCGAGATGGTGCTGCGCATATAGTGACGTGACGATTTGTGTACCGAAATGGGCCTTGAAATGACAACCCTGTCGGTTTTCCGCATCGTGCGATAAGCACGATCCATTGTACATTCCTATGCGATGGACTCTCGACATGACAATCCTGGCGGCAAGCGCAAGCCAGAGTCAAGATCAATATGTGGTCCTCATGTTGGCTTCGACATGACAACCCTCTCCTTTTCGCGCGGCCCATGAGGGCGCTGCACATGTGGTGCTGCGCTGATGTATGTTGATGTTGCCCTCCAAGACTTTTTGAATCCCGTCAGTACTGAGGAGAAAGATTATTGGACATGCCTCTCAATCCTGAATTCTGCGTACATGGCATGGAGAGATGCATTTTGATCGAGGAATTGTGCCAGGGTTTATCGAGTCTTTAGAGTCGGGTTGTAGAAGGGTTGCCAAAAAGGCTTGTAGAAGCCCTTCCTAGAAGGGTCGCATAGATTTTGTTTGTAGAAAGATAAGAAAGGTTCACAGAAGGGGATATATAGAAAGGTTTGTAGAAAGGCCTTCATGGAAAGTTTACGTATAGAACGCTTTAGGGAATTGATGGATGAAAGAAGGAGCATAGGTGAACGGGGTGGATTGGTGCGTGGCTGGGCGAATGGATGAATGGATGGCTGCATGGGTGGATGGATGGATGCATGGATGGAATTGATGATGCTTTCGAACACTCGCTCCCTAGTCATGAGTCATGATTTGACCGTACGCTTTGCAGCTGCCGGCCCCGTTCCCTGCGCAGGTGCCTCCTCCTCGCCTCATCCTCCCTTCGCCGCTCCTCCTGCTATCTTTCGGAGCAAACACTGTCGTCTGACTGACTGGGGCCAAATGGAGGCAGACTGACTGAGTTGAAATACGCTGAGACCTTCATGCTCGAGTCCCCGGGGTTGGGGCCGCAGAAACGACTTGCGGCCGCTCAGCGCAGCGATTAAAGGTCCTCTTCTCGCCTGCGCTCCTCCTTCAGCTGTTCCGCACGTCGTTGAATCTCTGCCTGCCTTGGGAGCGGTTGTGGGCATTGCTGGTGACCTGCATCCTCTCCTAGACTGCTAGAAGATGCTAGAAGCGAAGCAACGTATCGGCACCACAGCCACAGTGAAGACCCTTCTCTCTCAGGTGCGCACTCTTCCTCCTCCCGGCGACGCCTTCTCTCTGCTTCCATCTGCCG